GGGGAGATCGTGTGACGCCCCCACGTCCAGTGCGCCGCCCCCTGTGGCCTCTCCCTTCCCTGGGGCGCCCCCTCCCTCTGCTCCCGGAGGGGGGGCTCACCTGCTGGTCTGTCCCGGGCCCCTTCCCTGAGCCACCGTGGCAGCGCGGCCTCACACACACCCCCTCCCCCAGCTCTGCTCTGCGCACCATCCGCGGCCAGAGGCCCTGGCCCTGGGGGAGAGTCGGTGAGTGAGAGACACGGTGAGGGATTGGTTGCCTGCTGCGTGCGCCCCAACCCGGGCCGGGCCGGACGAGCCCGCACCGAATGGATCCCGCACCTTCAGCCCGGGCCAGACCAGCTCGGGCCCAGCAGTGCCTTTTAATCTCCTGAGATGGACTGACAGGCAGAAAGCGCATTTAGCGTGCTCATCCGGGCGAGTTGGCAATCGGGGGTTCCCTGTGGGACCATCACCACCATCTACCAGCGGTTCTCAACTGGTGGGTCGCGACCCCTTTGGCCGCCGAACAACCCTTTCACAAGGGTCGCCTAAGACCATCCTGCATATCAGATATTTACATGACGATTCAAAACAGTAGCAACATGACAGTGATAAAGTAGCAACAAAAATAATTTTATGGTTGGGTCACAACATGAGGAACTGTATTTAAAGGGCCAGAAGGTTGAGAACCACTGCTAACCCCAAGCATCCCACTGGTGTCTGCGGGGCTGGGGACGAGGAAGCCCTGCTTGGTCCAGGGGCTCTGCCCGCAGCTCTTGCTGGTCACCCCCCTGCCCCTGCTCCCAGCAGAGGGGCCGTGGCTCGTTCCAGCTGCAGAGGGTGGGGTCCCTCTAAGAAGGGTCTGGTTTGTTTGTTGCTGCTTTTTAAATATATTTTTATTCATTTCAGAGAGGAAGGGAGAGGGAGAGAGAGAAACATCAATGATGAGAGAGCATCATGGATCGGCTGCCTCCTGCACGCCTCCTACTGGGGATGGAGCCCACAACCCGGGCAGGTGCCCTGACCTGGAATTGAAACCTGACCTCCTGGTTCAGAGGTCAACGCTTAACCACGGAGCCACGGGCCGGGCAAGAAGTGTGTGGCTTGTTGAGAGCTCACGATACACTTAGCAGCGGAGGCAGAGTCCAGGGGTCAGTGAGCGGTGCAGGCTGTGTGAGTGGCGTGTTTGAAAGGGCCTGCAGGCGGCTGTTCTCTGCCTTCACTTTGCCCAGGACCATAGTTCAAGTCCGTTCCCAACGATGAGGGCCCAGGTGCCCATCTGTGCCCTCCTGGCACTGAGGTCCATCCTGTGGAGCCCGCCCCACGGCCTCTGCCCTGGCCTCACACTTTCTCCAAAGGCTCTGGCATGGGGTGGCCTTCCCTCCCAAGCGGCACCCGTGTCCAGCCCACGCTCGCCTCCGAGCAGCCAGGCACTGAGGGAGCCCCACACCCCAGCCCCGGCTCTGTCACTGGGGGCCATTAGCGAGTCCCTCGCGGGTGGCGTCTGCCCGGCATGTGACTGATGGTTAAAGCTGCCAGTTGAATGGAACTGGGAGAACTGTCTCGGCACTTCATCTGGCAGAGGTGTGGCTGGCCCAGAACTTGGGGGGGCCCCACAGGCCAGCAGGGGAGCAGGATCTCGGGAACTCGGGGTCCCCATCAGCGCTCAGTCAGCCGCTCAGGCGGCCAGTGGGCCCGAGAGCTGTGGGGGCGCTTTCCCTCATGGTTTTCCGTAAACTCTGTCTCCTGTCTGACAGGTGCAGCTGCGTGAGCCAAGGCCTGGTTTCTCCACCCGGCCTGCACCCCTGCCCTGCACCTTCCCCCGCCCCCTTACCCAGGTCCCGGGGGGAGGGGGCCTCCTGTGCCCGCAGGCTCAGGCCCCTGGTGGCAGGTGGCTCCCGGGGCCCTGGTGGCAGCCATGCCGAGCTGTAGAGCTCCAGGCGAGGCCGGCAGCCTCACACCGCAGGCCCAGGGCCCTGCCAAGCCCCGCAGGGGCAGGTGCGGGGTTTGAGGGCTGGGACCGGACTCTGTCTCCTGCTGGCCTCCCGGGCGTCTCTGGGTCACCCGTTCTCCGGGGCGTGTCGTCGGGCAGCGGTGTCAGGCGTCCCCTGTCCCGCCGCAGCTGCAGCTCTCCCCCGTGGACCTGTTCGAGCTCCATGCCGACCTGAAGATCCAGGAGAGGGACGAGTTCGCCTGGAAGAAGCTGAAGGCCGAAGGCCTGGATGAGGACGGGGAGAAGGAGGCGAAGCTCGTACGCAACCTCAACGGTACCCTCCTTCCCCGCACCCCACTCGGCCTGTGGGCGGACGGCGGGCCCTGCAGGCGGGAGCCGGGCAGCTTTTCCGGTTCCCAGGGGTTAGTGACAGGTGGTGACACACAGGTCTCGGTGACACGGCCTGAGGAGCTGACCCGCCGGCCAGGGTGGCTCTGGTGGCTCGGTGGGGGGCCCCTCTGCAGCTTAGGGGGAGGGCTGGACAGGGTCTGACGTCAGGAAACCCCTCCCCCCCAGCTCACATCAGCCTGAGAATGCACTCCCCATGGCTTGCTGGCCCTCGCGCCCCAGGGTCTGGCTTCCGGGTGGAGGGAGTTCTGAGGCACAGACCGGGTAGACAGACAGGAGAGGCCACGCCTCCCTGAGCCCAGAGCGGGCGGGCACAGCCCGGTGCCCAGCGCAGGGCGCTCACGGGAACTGGTTGTGTCCACAGGAGGGGCAGGGTCTGTGGAGAGACCAAAAGGGTGAGGGGAGCCCGTGCCAGTTTCTAAGGAAGATGGACGGGGGTGGGGGAAGGGCTGAAGGGCAGGAAGGGGCCCTGAGTCCCGGGCAGACCAGCAGGGGCCTGTCCCAAAGCCCCCAGAGGCTGGAAGTCCAGTCCCCTGCCCCACGTGGTGCTGGAAACCAGGCTGCTGGGAGGGGGGCGGGGTGGGGGGCGCTGTGTCCTGCGGGTCTGAGAAGCAGCTGGCCAGTGCAGCCCCAGGTGGGGGACGTAGTGGCTGGTGGCCCGGCTGCCCTCCAGCTTCTGTGCTGCTGGTGGAAGTTGCTGACACGGAAGTTTCTCCTGTAGAACCTCTCCCTCCAAACAAGAGGGTGCTGGTTAGGGATCCCCTCCAGCCGCACCCTGCGTTGGGCACATCTCTCCCCGGGAAACGGGCTACAGGTGCTGGCTGGGAAGCTGGTCTGTGAAAGTGACCACACTGGTAACGACCCTTGTCCCGTGGTACCCGCTCGCAGTGGGAGCTACGAGGCGGCCGGTGCTGGCGGGAGGGTCGGGTTTGTCCTCGTTCTGCTGGTGGTCGCCAGAAACCTGGGTGGTGGAGGAACCTG